CATTTGGTTGCAACTGTCTTTCGACACAACTTACACTTTACATGAATTTGTTCAACATCTGGCTTTTCAAATCCGAGCCAGTTCCACACCACTGAGCTGATGATCCACCTTTCTTTGGTAGGAGATCACTCCTCTGTGAAGCGCCACCTCCTCCTCTGCGTTTTTTTTTACTTAAGATGCGTTTTTCTTACGTCTTGAGAATTTAAATAGTTTTGTTGGTATTTTAATTCAAGTATAAGCAATTATAAACTTGTACCATCCCGATTGTCACATGTCTAACTTTGTGTGAAAACGTTAATTCGAATTAACCGAATTAATCGTGAAAATCGTCCAGCACTATTTAAAGCTAAGGAGGCAAACATGTCTTGGATGATTGACAACATCTGGAAAACTGTAAATTTGAGGCACTTATATTACCATGATTACTAAACCTAGGCTACTTTTTTACTTTTTTGAAGTCTGTTGACCAATTAGCAGATTTTAGTTTTAACTTTTGTCACATGTGGAGCTTGATGGCAGTCGGTATAAAGTCTGGAACCTGTTGATTTTGGTGAAATTAATGCCCATTTCATCAACTTTCCTGTTAAAGCTTGACCAGGAGACTGTTCTGTTCTCCTCAGCAGGCCTCATCTTATTCTGAAGGCCCCCCCTTTTAAAGAAATGGTGTTGACTGTATCCCGTTAGCTTCCGCTGATGAGACAGCTGGAGTGTCCAGCTTTGATGAAAGCAGGGGAAGTGTCCAGCACCCACAGAGCCACATAACCCTCCGCCTATCAAAACACCATCATATGCGTGCTCTGCGCCGGCCTCACTCCGTTCCTGACATTACCCCAGTCTGGCAGGCCTTATTGTTCGCTTTCCTGCCTCACACTGCGAGTGTGTCTGGGTTATTAATAATGCTTTTGTCTGCTCTGAGGGCTGTTTAGATTGCTTCTCCAAACACTGCTACTGCGAGCGCGGAGAGGATTCGCGCAGAAACGGGCTTCTAAACAAATGGGATTGCGTGTTGAACCTGTTGTTTAAGATTAACCCTTAAATTGATTGAGTTTGCTGTTTGGAAACATTACATTTTTGTATTAGAGTCATGTAAACACCCAGAAATATCATCTGTTTTGCCTGAGGGGTCTGTCTGGGGAAGATTCACAGATTAGATTGCTCGAGTTTGTGTTTGTGTGCAGGGAGATATTACTGTGGATTATTTGTGCCATCATTTACACTTCAGTAATTGTCTCAGGCGTAAGGATGATTATTAGGATTCTGTTATGAAGTTTGGCAGTAATCATATCATCGCTGTCATATTAAAATCCTTGCCCTTTACATTGTGTGAATTGGACCAATAGAAAGGAGCAAATTGTATAGTTTCTCTAATATATCAGTGATTTGCGCAGTTCTTTTGTTGCTGCTTTAACTCTGCAGTTTCTTTCAGAATGGATGAAGTTTCTATTCAACCAATCATGCCTCTGTACATATAAGCATTCGTCTATGCACATATACATCTGTGGAGCCATACGTACATACACCAGTTCATACAGTGTATCCATCTATCTGTACGTAAGTCCACCCATTTTCCACCTGCACATACACAGCTAAAAATAAGGCAAAGATTTTCGATATTTAACTTTTCCACCTTTTACATTTATTACATTTTTATTACAGTTTTCATGAAGCTTTTAATTTTTTAAACAAATCTGCAGGGATATTTTTCCACACCTCCAAAGTTCAGTCTTAGAAGTTGGTTGCATTTTCTGCGTCTCACGATCCAAATAATCCCAAACACATTTAGTCATGTTTGATTTTCTCTCTTCCCTCGAAGATGAAAACTTTAAGTGCTGTTTATCTGATGGGGTCCGTTTTGGTCGTCTGCCAGGTCTTCCAGGTGGTTGTTAGGAGTCCCGTTTTCTGGGTAGCCTTTGAACTTGTAAACATGGAAACTCTTTTTTGTTTTTTTTTCACCTGCTTTCCATTGACTTTCTGCTTCCTTATGCTAGTGGATTAACTCGTATCTAATCTTATCAAAATTGTCTCCTGAAAAATTAATAATTAATGTTCTCGATGAAGGCCCAGATGACAGGATATTCTGGAGAAACACTGTACATGTAGTTGCCAGGATTTGGAAGCAACTTTACAGCACTTAGTAATGACAATAAGGCCGTTATTATTTGGAAGTTAAATAAATGAAGGGTGTTCTCTGACGTTTACACAGTACTGTACATCCACCCTAATAAAGTTAAGACTTTGTTTTGTAGGTGTCTTACAAAGGTAAAGTTTCTGTTTTGGAGATTTGAGCTTGTCTTACAGGGGTTATGAGTTGTTGACTGAATTTAGACAGTGAATGTAATATATAACCACATTTCATTCAGACAGGCAAGGCTTATTTTCTCCCTCCCGTCGTGACAGTTCGATGGTTAATAGCTGTCTTGATTATTAAGAGTTGTTTCCACTTTGTAGCCCCTTTTGGCTCATTTCCACCAAGACCATTTGAAGTTTCATTCAGCCTTCAGAAAGTTGGTCATTAGCATAGGAACCCATTGATCTTCACCAACCAGTCATAATGCACACTCATCACTTTCCAGCTTCATACATTTATGCTTTCGTAGTTTGCTGTTTGTCTCTATTCCTGCCGTCTTTACTGCTGTTATAATGTCTGGATATGGCTTAAATAAATCTGACTGCAGGCAGACTTCACCTCAAACTCTAGAAAAATTCACTGTGCTTCTCAGCTGCACTTTATTGTTTATCAGTAGTTTGCAATTTGTTGCTTCCTATGTGACACATAGTGTTAGATGCACTGCTGTGTCTGATCCACTCAGACCAGCGCAACACACACTAACACACCACCACCACGTCAGTGTTACTGCAGTGCTGAGAATGATCCACCACCCAAATAGGACCTGCTCTGTGAGGGTCCATGGGGGTCCTGACCACTGAAGAACAGGGTAAAAGGGGGCTAACAAAGTATGCAGAGAAACAGATGGACTACAGTCTGTAACTGTAGAACTACAAAGTGCACCTATAGAGTAAGTGGAGCTGATAAAATGGACAATGAGCATAGAAACAAGGAGGTGGTCATAATGTTATGCCTGATTGGTGTATGTACATACGTACATACAGAACATCCATCCGTCCAGTACATACATACATCTCTCTGTCCGTCTATCCATCCATCCATCCATCCACCCATCCATCCATCTAGGGCCTGACCAATGTGAACATTTTTGGCCGATTTCAAACTGATTTAAGAGGCAAAAAATTCAAATAAGCAGTATAATCAGGCAATATAGTTTTATATTCATATTTTGTTTTAATGTTATACTTCAGTACTTTTAGTTAAACAGTGCTTTACTAACTGATATGATTGTCAGTTGCCAGCTGTGAGTTCTTATCTGTTAAATGTTCTCAATGCTCATGTTTCATAAATTCAGAAATACAGCAGAAACGCAGTCTTAAATAATAGAAATATTGGAGCGGGGAAGAGTTATAAATAATTCTTTGTGATTTCCGTTTCTGTTAATTACATCTTTTCATGTTAGAACATGATATACTCCTGTAAAAGTTTGGGTAAACTTGGTCAAGTGAAAATAAATGAGCACATCCTCTACAGAGAACACACTTTTACACATTTTAATGCACAATTACTGTTTATTTGCTGAAATATTAGAAAATTTTACAAAAAATAAAATTTTTGGCACATTTTGTGTTGTGTTTTTGTTTATGTGTTAATAATATGTTAAACTCAACAAATAAGTAGTAATTGTGCACTAAAATGCCATATTTAAGTGTGTTCTCTGTAGAGGATGTGTTAACTTTCAAATTTTTTCAATTAGAAAAACAACAAAACGTAATGTGACTCGGGGTGTTTGTACTGTTCAGAAGTCTTAGCCACCTAAGCACATTATTCAGAACCTTTTGTCTTGGCAGTAAGTGGGTGTTGGCTTGTAAAAACACTATAAGTGATTAGAATAAATACAAATAAACATAATACAGTAAAAAGTAACACATTTTATTTTGGAAAAAATAGCTAGATATCTTGTGAGCTAATTTGAAGAACAAAGCTTGGTTCTAGATTTCTCCTCAGCACTCACAGCCATCATATGGATTTCACCAACACACCGAATTTAGCATAATAAAGTATTGATTAGCCAAAGCAGGTATTGGATAATAATCACAATTAATACTGGGCTGCTATAAGAAAAGGTCTGGAAAAGGTCTGAAACATACATAAAAGCTACTTATCGTAAATAAATAACTTTACATTTCTTATTTTCTCAGGTGCATAAAACTTTTGCGCAGTACTATATATATATATATATATATATATATATATATATATTTATAGTCATTTTAACCATAGTAGTGGTTTGTGTTCAAATTTACCAGTTCAGACTGAAGAGTTAAACACAGGGTGCCTCAGATTGGGTTCTTATGTGCCATGCGGTTTACTGATCATCAGGATTTCACAGGTAATAATCCCGATGATCACTGGCGCAACTGATAAAGACACGGTTGTCCATATTAGCTGATGCTATTGGCCAACCGATATCAGTTGCTCTCTAGTACATAACATGCATGCATACGTATATCCGCCCAACTTCATATCCATACATCAGTCCATCTATCCATAGAAAAGGCAGCCCAACGTTAGTTAATCCCCCTCTATAATACTCACTTTTTTAATACTCACTTGTGATTCACTGGATTATTCAGAGAGACATTTTTTTATCTCCCTTCCACAAGAATTCCTGAATATTTCGACACAGCGGCCTGGAAATTGCTTTCAGTTTTGCTGTAATAGAAACCTTGGGGCCGTCTGCTGTCTAAAGTCACGCCTCCGCCTACCTGGTGGGCAGGTGGAGCTGTGTCCAGACATGAGACAGAGTCCAGACCCTGCTGACACAGACGAGCCCCGATCTAGACTCTGCTCAGCCTTGTCTGTGACTCATTCCGGCAACTTGCTGCAACAGCGAGCGCAGCAATAACCAGGATGTGACAGTACGTCAGAGGAGAGAGGCTTGGCAAGGCGTGTGAGTGAGTGAGTGAGCGAGCGAGCATGTGTTTGTGTATGTGCGCGGATCGCAGAGGAAAAGCCCCCGTGAGGGCTGGCGGAGGCTGATTTGTGTGTGGCTGGCTGTAGCTGCGGCAGGCACAGGCGCGTACGGGGGGATTTTTTAGCCTTTCACATGTTCACAGAGGAATATGGGTGTCTGTCTCCTCGCCAGTCCAGAGTACCGTGTGTCTGCTGGCCCTTTCTGCTCGGAGGTAGGTCCATTCAGCCAGGACAGAGCAGCTTTAGGAAGCGAAGATTTGCGTGGTCATTTCTACATGGGTGGTGTTGGAGTAGTGTACATTTACCTTTCTACCTAATGCAAGGTGCCTGATTCAGTGACAGTCAGATTGCTAGTTTTTTGTGATGATAAGCTAACTGTGCTACAAAGCGTAAGACATATCAGTTTGTTCAGAATGACAGTACAGCAGTCAGGTGTTTGGAAATAACCCCATACACTTTGAAATGCCACTGAAGCACAAAATAGATCGTTGGTTCATTTGTTTACAGTCAGTAATATTATGGTGTTCTGTGCATTTGGAAGCTGTTGTATGTTGGTGTCAGTCAGATTGGGCTGCTCTGTGAGCCTCGAGTGCCGGACTGAGTGTTTTAGTGTGAGAGAGTTTTTTCTGGACTGTGTGCTGGGTGTGGTGACGTGCAGTGGAACTGGGCTGATAATAACAGCCTGAAGCTTTGATGGTGTTTGTGTGTGTGTGTGTGTGTGTGTGTGTGAGAGAGAGAGAGAGAGAGAGAGAGAGAGAGAGAGAGAGAGAGAGAGAGAGAGAGGGAGGGGTGCTCTAGTGAGTTCTAAAGTCTGTCAGATTTTACTACCTTTCCATTTTGAACAGGTTTTAGCTGCGTCATCTGTGTACAGTCAACTATCACCGTCAGTCCAGGCAGTTATATGCTGGCTCTGTTGGACTTTTTTTTAGTTATCATAGTTATCAATGTTGTAGATGGTCAGCTGCAGTGCTACCATGTTCCGACTTGACTAAAAGTGACTCAGTGATTGTTGTCATCAGACAGTGACACCAAAGTTCCTTACTCAAGTAAAAGTCTAGAAGTACGTGCTACTAGATGTACTTAAAGTAAAAAGTAAAAGTATTTATTTAATGCCGTTTTTTAAACAGGATGTTCTTTACTGAGTGTTAATTAATTGTAGACAACCAGGACATTAAGCATAAATAATGGTTTTTGAACCAACCAGGTCAAATAGTTCTTGTAAGTAAGGCTATGGATGGGAATTATTTGGGTGGTGGATCATTCTCAGCACTGCCGTAACACTGACGTGGTGGTGGTGTGTTAGTGTGTGTTGTGCTGGTATGAGTGGGTCAGACACAGCAGTGCTGCTGGAGTTTTTAAACACTGTGTCCACTCACTGTCCACTCTGTTAGACACTCCTACCTTGTCAGTCCACCTTGTAGATGTAAAGTCAGAGACGATAGCTCATCTGCTGCTGCACAGTTTGTGTTGGTCATCCTCTAGTCCTTCATCAGTGGTCACAGGACGCTGCCCACAGGACGCTGTTGGCTGGATATTTTTGGTTGGTGGACAATTCTCAGTCCAGCAGTGACACTGAGGTGTTTAAAAACTCCAGCAGCACTGCTGTGTCTGATCCACTCAGACCAGCGCAACACACACTAACACACCACCACCACGTCAGCGTTACTGCAGTGCTGAGAATGATCCACCACCCAAATAGTACCTGCTCTGTGAGGGTCCATGGGGTTCCTGACCACTGAAGAACAGGGTAAAAGGGGGCTAACAAAGTATGCAGAGAAACAGATGGACTACAGTCTGTAACTGTAGAACTACAGAGTGCACCTATATAGTAAGTGGAGCTGATAAAATGGACACTGAGTGTAGAAACAAGGAGGTGGTCATAATGTCATACCTGATCTGTGTATCTCTCAAAGGATCATCCACCCCTTTCTGGTTTCACTTCCAGTAGGATTTTGATTTGCCGCTTGATGACGTGCCTGGATAGAAGTTACCTAATTAAAAAAAAAAAAAATCAACAGGAAAGCCACATTTACAGCAAGCCACGTCTGCCTTTGTTGGAAACCAGCAGATTTATCTACTTATTTATTTACCCACAACATCCCTGTAATTCAGCTTTTGCAAAGTAGTGCATTCAAACCCTACTGTGTTTTATCGATGTGGACTTTTATACAACTATTTATACATGCTTCCGCAGTGGCAGGCGATAAAAAAGTGAAAATAAACTTCACACATGCTGAGTCTGCTTTAGTTTCACTTTGATTGCTTTTTGGTGGCTGCGGATAAAGAAGCATGCACAAATAGCAGTGAGTGAGGACCTCCTGATGCCAGGCCTGGCTTATTTCACTGGAATTACCTCATAGGGAATCTAGCCTACTTCATCAAAGCCACACATGTATTCAGTTGAAAAATTAATAACATGATAAATGATAACATCATACATCTTACTGCTAGATACTGCTGGAGGGAGACGAGGAACTCATAAAGGATAAAAAAGTGTCTTGACAAAAATGTTTGTTATAGCAATGATATGGTAATTACTGAACTTTATGGCTGATTAGTCTACGTTTGGCTGCACTGCACTGTTCTTACAGTGATGTAGGTCTGTGTTCTTGATGGATTGTTGTAAATGAACCAAAATGACACAGCAGCACTCAGCTGATGGGCCGATTGCCCCCTCGTGCCCCTCCGCCGTGCCTGCCAGTGTGTAGAGAGTGCGCAATCCATCACCATGTGCTTTTTACAGATATAAGTCGTCTAATCTATCCATGGCACATCATGCAAAATTGAATAATTTAAATAAAACTCAGTTTATACTCCTTTTTTTCTCTTTTTTATTCGAAAGATTATTTATCCATTCATTCGTTCATCCATGTAGAAGAGAACATGCTGTGTCATACTCTATTCTCTAAGCGGTTGTGTTTATCTTAGCACGTACAAAGACAGGTAATTGATAAATTGCATAAAATCTGTAAGAAAATATTTGACCTGCAACCCGTTTGGTCAGACTCTGAAGAAGAGTGTAGCAGCTGGACAGCATCACATTCCGAACCTGTTGTTGATCTCAAGCGAGCTTTTTACTGTGAGCAGCTGTGTGTAACTGAACAAGCTGGGATAAAACAGAAACAAACATAATACATCCAGCAATCAAGATGAGCTGTGAAATGATTTACAGACTGACTGGAGCAAAACCACTTTGGGGTTCATCTGGCAAACGCTGAAAGAGCTGAGCTGAACCTGATATTGGGACAGTGTTTTGGCTCTATCTGCAGTCCTGAAAGGCACTACTGGAAATTGCCAGTGTTAAAGCACATTTAATAAAAAGTTCAGTTCATCTTTGCTTTACTTTTACCTTTAGTTTGCAGAACTGGTATATAAAAACAATACAGCAATCAGTAATGTTGAGCTCCCTGCCTTTGGCTCGTCTGCAAATGAATCACAGCGGAGATGTCATTCGAAATAACACACTCCTTCTTATGTTCTGTTACTTTGAATTCACAATGATTTGTTTCTTCTTCTTTAAGAAACAATTCAGTCAGATGTGACTGGAGGAATTATTTACACAGTGAATATTTTAAAAGAGCTCAAAAAAACAATTCCACCCACTTAAACTCCTCTATCACACGATACCACCATTAGAATTATTAATCACAAATAAAAGTTCATTTTAAATGTTAATCTAATTGTTTATGCACTGTTAGAAATAAAGGTACAGTGCAGGTACATTTCTCGTTCTTTAAGGTCGAATTTTGTACCTTAAATAAGTTTTTCCAGGTGAAAAGTTCGTATTTGTACCTTTTCATAACCGAATGTTTTAAAACAGAACAGTAAAATAAAAGCCTGGAGACGAGACGGGGTGTGTGGAGTCAGTACAGCTTAGAACATATCATTTCAGTGGATTATGGTTCAGTTATGTTCCCTGACTAAAGGTACTGAGATGTACCCTTGAGGGTCCCACCCCAATGACAAGAGGGGCACTGCCCCAGTGATAGTTCAGTACCTTTTTTCTGAGAGTGTACTCTATTTTAATGTTACTAAATCACCACCCTTATGCATTTTTTCAGTACTGTACCAGAGAACAGTGTGGATTCCGCTCCTGTTCATCAGTTCCATTAGTTCAGTTGCTGCTGATGTGCTGTTCCATTCCCCTGTGGTGTGTGTGTGTGTGTGTGTGTGTGTGTGTGTGTGTGTGTGTGTGTGTGTGTGTGTGTGTGTGTGTGTGTGTGTGTGTGTGTTTATGTTCCCTGCCAGAGGAAACGTGTCTAATCTGTCCTTTAATAACACTGAAAGATAAACAGGCTGGCTGGGGACACAGATGATGGTCAGGAATGTTACTGCTGTGTTGTGTGGCAGGGGTGGGCTCTCAGAACAGGGCCGCATGGGACAATGCTCTGGCACTGCTGGGGGACTCAATTGGTGGGACATCTGAGTTGGTCTGCCAGGATGGGTCCAGTCCACTTACCCACTGAGTTTAATCAGTATATTTCAGTGGTTCCCAACCCTGGACCTGGACTAGGGCCTTACTGAAAGGCTAATTTTATCACCAGTGCCCATAGTATGGAGCTGAAAAGTGCAGTGACGACTAACATCGGCTAATGTCATTTTATGGTTAATTAAACAGGAAAGTGAAATCACATTAGTTAAACAGTGCTTTACTGACTGATATGATTCAGTTACTGTCAATGACAATTATGTCCGGTTTCAAATGTCATAGTTACTAAAGTCAACCAAGATCAAATACCTTTTGTACCTTGGTAGTTCATGTTCCTGGTCATATTATGCACAGTTCATCATTTAAAAGATAAAATTGTTGTTTTCCCATAATCTCTGATCAAAATATCCTCCACGTCCCACCACCCACCACCCCTCATTGGAAGAATGCGCTTAGCCAGCTCAGAGACCCTCAGTCACATCAGGTTTCACTCACACATGCATCATGACACAAAAGGAAAATGCAGCAAAACTTTCGATTCATGATGACTAAACAGAACAAACTCAGACAGACTAAATAATGTCAATATCAAATATATTAAAAACATCTGCCGATCACACAGGACAACCACAGAAATATGCAGGACGGCCACTACTACTATTATCATTATTATTATTATTATTATTATTAGTAGTAGTAGTAGTAGTAGTAGTAGTAGTAGTAGTAGTAGTGTTAGTGGTAGTAGTAGTAGTGGTGGTGGTGGTGGTAGTAGCAGTTGTAATAGTAGTAGTAGTGGTGGTGGTGGCGGTGGTAGTAGTAGTAGTAGTAGTGGTGGTAGTAGTAGTAGTAGTAGTAGTAGTAGTGGTGGTGGTAGTAGTAGTAGTGGTGGTAGTAGTAGTAGTGTTAGTAGTAGTAGTAGTAGTAGTAGTAGTGGTGGTGGTAGTAGTAGTAGTAGTAGTAGTAGTAGTAGTGGTGGTAGTAGTAGTAGTGTTAGTAGTAGTAGTAGTAGTAGTAGTAGTAGTAGTGGTGGTGGTGGTGGCGGTGGTAGTAGTAGTAGTAGTAGTAGTGGTGGTGGTAGTAGTAGTAGTAGTAGTGGTGGTGGTAGTAGTAGTAGTGTTAGTGGTGGTAGTAGTAGTAGTAGTGGTGGTGGTGGTGGTAGTAGCAGTTGTAATAGTAGTAGTGGTGGTGGTGGTGGCGGTGGTGGTGGTAGTAGTAGTGGTGGTGGTGGTAGTAGTAGTAGTAGTGGTGGTGGTGGTAGTAGCAGTTGTAATAGTAGTAGTAGTGGTGGCGGTGGTGGTGGTAGTAGTAGTAGTGGTGGTGGTGGTAGTAGTAGTAGTAGTGGTGGTGGTGGTGGTGGTGGTAGTAGTAGTAGTAGTAGTAGTAGTGGTGGTGGTGGTGGTAGTAGTAGTAGTAGTAGTAGTAGTAGTAGTAGTAGTAGTAGTAGTAGTAGTGGTAGCAGTGGTGGTGGTAGTAGTAGCAGTAGTAGTAGTGGTGGTGGTAGTAGTAGTGGTGGTGGTGGTGGTAGTAGTGGTGGTAATAGTAGTAGTAGTAGTATTAAGTGTCTTCAGCTAATGTCCTGGCCCTGATGACCATATGGATAGTGTTTCTTCAGAATATCCCACCCTCTGTTTGGATCTCCAGGCTTCTAAACAGCTTGTTCATGATTCCTCTGATGGTATTCATCCATCCTGTTGCTGGTTATCCTCTTCCTTTTTGACCTTCAGCTGTTCCAAACATAATTGTCTTTTCCAGTGAACTGGCTCTTCACATAATGTGTCTAAAATAAGAGCTGTAGTTTGGTTCTCTGGGCTTCAAGTGAGAGATGAGGCTTGATTTGGTTGAGGATCCTTTTGTTTGTTTTCTTTCTCCAAAGGCATCAGAATGTTTCCAGTCCTACTTTTTTACTCTCCAGCTTTCATGTCCGTCACTGAAAGACTACAGCCTGGGCAGTTCTGATCATTGTTTGTAGAGACACATCATTCACCCTTGTTATGACGAGTGCCAGTCTGTGTTGTATTTCTTGCTTGCTGGCCTGCAGAACTCCAGGGTCAGTATTGGGAACCGTAGGTCGTATCAGTTAACGGCCATAGAGTCCAGCTTTGTGTATATTACAGTACATTGATTTGGAGTCTGTGCCACCCTTGAGAAGTTTGCTTGTGGCCTCAGTCTCAGCTGAAACGAGGCCCAGTTCTGTTGTCATGATCCACTCCACCCCATTTTAATTTGTAGTTTTTAATTCACAGTTAAAGCTGTGTTGCTCACAAAGTGGCGGATGTGGGGTTTCATTGTGCAACATGGTTAAATCAGAGTCTCCTTTATAGCCCATTTAAGATCTGACGTCATGCTTTCCAGTTAAAAATAAAAAACAAGCATATCTGAGCATAACTGCGGGTTCAGCTTTTGTGATGTCACTAAAGTTCCCAAAAGGAAACTGCAAGCTTGACAGGGTTGGGCCACTCAAGACCTGAAGTCGTGCCATAATTTGCATATATCTAATACTTATTGTAGCACGTTTTAATTTGTGACTTGGATCATTTGTTCATTATTTAATATTAATATTAATGTGGAGCTGCTATTTAATAGAGTATAACAGACAACTGAATTTAACATGCGTTGACCTGGCTAATACATAATATAAGCTCGATTTTACAGTTACAGACTACCCCCCGTGCATCAAACCATGCTTTTTAAAGAAACCTTTCGATGTAGCTCTATATGAAATGAGAAATTGTGCTATATAAAGCTCATCCCAGCTGAGACCCCACTTACATCTAATTGTAGTTGTGTTGAATAGTGTGATAGCCACCCATCTGTCTGTTTGCATAATCTGAGAGTGCCTTGTTTGTGTTTGGGAGCTACTCCCAAATTACAATAAATAATTAGGAAATAATAAAATTTCTTTAGAGCTGCCACTAACCTTGCCTGTTCTCTCTTTGTCTTTTGGGCAGAATATGACAGACACCTAGCGCACGGCAAAGGCATGGCAACGGCGTACTTGGACCCCAACCTGAACCACGCCCTGGGCGGGGGGGCCAAGTCGCGCCTCAGCACAGGGACGGAGCGGGCCCCTGGAGCCTCAGACCGGGTCCTCAAAGTCTTCCATCACTTCGAAAGCAACAATGAGCACAGCACATGGTCCAGCAACATCCGTCATGGAGATGCCACCGACGTTAGGGTAAGAAAGCGGAGGAATTAGGACACAGTGGACCTGGAGAGTGAGGCTGGGCACTGTGATCCAAAAACTCATACACAGTACTGTGCAAAAGACTTAGGGCCTGTTTACAGCTTTCATTAACATGCAGTCGGGTCACTCAAACCACATTCAGAGGTGGTCAGAGATCTTCACTGCCTTTAACCCAAGTGTAAACAGAAAGTATTTTCCTTATCCATATACAAATACGTGAGCTGAAATACGTCTGCGCTGACCAGCAGGTGAGAGAATCATTAAAGAAATGAAAGTTGGACGATAACGAGGCTGAAGTTCTCTCTATCAAGGCTGATTAGGGCATCCAAGCCATGCCTGTCGACTTGTATAATAATGGGGGAAAAGGTAAAAAGAAGTAAAACAGTTCCGACCCATATGTTGATGTTCTGTTTACGCGCAAAAAATACAATCAGATCTCATCTTGTCACATTGGAGACGCATTTTAGTGAAAATTGTAAATGGAATCTGGCCAGAGTCTGTCCAGAAACAGGAAACACGTTAATGCGAGGAGTAAACAAACTCTTAAAACTGTTTATCTGGGCATAACACAGTAAAATGCAATACTACATTAGAATAAATACAAGTAACTATAAACTATAAGTATTTGTTTTTAGTAAAATTACTAATGTGTTCGAAAAGTATCATCACATGCATTTGGTCAGTTCCACCAGCAGCACCTGATTTCAGTTACTGAAGGACCGATTAGATAAACTAGGTATCAGATAGTAACTGTAAATAATGGACTTCGTTGAGTAGAATTTTGGTAAGAAATAAGCAGAAATAATAAGAAATATGCCTGAGATTTATGCAGAGCACTGCTTCCTTTTCATTTGATTATTGTTGTTTAATACATTCCCCAGTGCTAGTGCAGTGTTGCCCATTTTGATAGACACGCATTGTTAGCAAACTCTGCAAAATGTTTTGCGTTGCATATCATCGCTGTCCAAAAAACAACATTGGCTGTGTTTACGTGCAAAGTTTTTTGCCAATCCAATTGAATACATTCCGATTATAGATTAAGACTGAGGTGTTTATTCTCACTCTACTCAACAATCCGATTAAAAATCTTCGTTTATATGCTCACTACAAGTAATCCGATCCAAAATGATACGCATGCGTGGAGAATCGCTTAGTGTAGACGTTACCATGACAGTGAGCATCACGTGAGGTCCAGTCAGAGTGAGATGAGTTTCCAGTTGGTGCGCCGGAGTTTTTAACTGATTTAAAATGTCAGACTCAGGAAAAACGTGCTTCACATGTACTTATTAAAGAAGGCCGAGAGGAAGACGTCGCGTTCTGAGACACATAAGCTGGACGTCCGTCCCACCGCCGTCTTTTAAAGATCAGAGCATAAACTTCGTCTCCTCTGCAGACCAGTTTCTGCTCCGCCATGCTGAACGGTATAAACTTTTGCCAGAGCCGGTTTATCAGTTCTGTGCTTTTGATATGATGTGACGCACATGATCAGAACTTACACGTTCCGATTGGGAATGTAATCAGATACAGGCGTTTACTTGGCTACTATTCTTCTATTTAACGGATTATTTACAAGATTACCCACCTCGTTCAAACGGATAGAAATTGTATTCCCGAATGGCCTCAATCGGACGAGTCTATTCCGATTGAAGTGTTTAGATGGACGCATTCTATTCCGATTGAGCTATTAGTCGGATTATTAACGGATTATCAGGCTGCATGTAAACGTGGCTATTGTGTGAAAGTGTCATGATGCATGCATCAATAGAAATGCTCCAGATTTACCTGGATTAAAATCTCTTTACATTAACTTGCATTAAATATTAAAAATGTTCCTGTCTTGTCCTGTAAAGCTCCCACTTTGGAGATATACATGTCTGTTTTTTTGTTGTTTTTTGTTTTGGTTTGTTTTGTTTTTTTTGCATAGTGACAATATGGATGTTTTGCCGGAGTCTCTTCTTGTTCTGTGACGTTTTCCTCAAACTCACAGTCTTCCTTTATTGTCTTATAACCCTGCTAACTGTGCCACTTCATCCACTGCTCTATTTAGCAGGTGGAAAGTTCACAGCGCTACCTAGTGTTCAAAGTAGTAGTTGTAGGAGCTAAATAACTATAAAATAGCCATATAGTGAGAGTGAAACTGAAAATATGATAGGAACCTTTGGAAAGCCACACACTCTCCCTCATCCACTGTAATATGTACATTTTAGGCATGTGAATAATTGGAAAGAGCAAGTTCCCCATACACTTTCAACTCCGCACTAAATGTGATGTTTAACAGAAGTTGTTGATAACCGTTGCCTTTGTTCTGGGTAGTCTAGTGCCTCTTAATGCCAGTATAAATCATTTGCAGAAGAGGAGGCTGTGAACTGGAGCCTCGTATACCTGTGAATTATTTAGTGTGTTCAATTAGCTCTGCTTCCTGCGACCTGTGCTTTTCCATTTACCATCAATTCTATACCTCTAAATTGCTTTTGCAGTGTCGACTAGGACTCGCATTGTTTACAGCGAGGCTTTAAGAACTTTTCCTTGGACAGTGAGCAGTTAAAGCTTCAAAGTTTGCTAATTACAAGCTGCACTCCACTGAGGTGTCATTGTTGGGCTTTGTAGATAAATGCGCCTGTATGTGCTCGCGGAGCCGGGGATACGTGTGTGTCGTGGCATGCTATGCTACGTCGCCTCTCCCTCCAGGTGGGTGGATGTGGTAAAGCCCCTTTGAAGCCCTGTTCGCTCGAGTCTCTCTGCTGGAATGTCTTGCTTTCCTTCTCCGTCAGTGGGAAGTTGAGTACTGAATTCATTAGTTACACGGATCTCCTTGTTTCCTGACTCTGAAGGAAGGAGTCGGGCTTTCTGTCTGAGGAGCAGATGCTGTATTGATCAGTGGGCTTCGCCGAGGCGATTGTTGAGTCCACATCCGCCGGACGGATAAACATCTTGTTCCTCTTCCTCGCCTGGTCCCTGATGGCTTCTCAAATGTCCATTCATGCTCTCTTTGATCGGTGCAGCTCTTCCATCCTGCTGTAATCTCATACCGACACCTCCACTGCCTGTGTGCAGCCTATTGGCTTTCACTACTCGATCTGTATAAACAAAGAGTCTAAATCAAATTTACAGGTTTTCATTTGAACCCAAATGATGCCAGACAGCTGCAACATGTTTGGTGTCTGGAATTCTGGTTCTTTAGTTTTGCATTGAGTGATAAGGCTAATGTACACACTTAAAAAAAAAAAGATGGTTCTTCAAGGGTTCTTTAGTAAAGAAAATGGTTCTCTATAGAACCATGAACACTCAAAGAACGCTTTGCATGATTAAAGGGTTCTTCGCATGATGAAAGCGTCCTCCGGATTAATGGAGAACATGCTGTAGATGCTTCTGTATAGAACCTTTTTGAAAAGCATTGTATATAGCACCAAAAAGACAATAGAAGAACCCCATTTGGGTGCTATATGGAACCATTTTCAAAAAGGTTCTATATAGAACCATCTACAGCAAGTTTTCCATCAAAGAACGCTTTGCATGATTAAAGGGTTCCTTGCATGATGAAATTGTTCTTCAGATTGATGGAGAACATGCTGTAGATGGTTATATATAGAACCTTTTGAAAAGGATTTTATATAGCACCAAAAAGACAATAGAAGAATCCCATTTGGGTGCTATATGGAACCATTTTCAAAAAGGTTCTATATAGAACCATCTACAGCAAATTTTCCATCAAAGAACCCTTCGCATAATTAAAGGGTTCTTTGCATGATGAAAGTGTTCTTCATATTGATGGAGAATGTGCTGTTAATGGTTATATATAGAACCTTTTTGAAAAGGATTTAGTATAGCACCAAAAAGACAATAGAAGAACCCCATTTGGGTGCTGTGTGGAACCATTTTCAAAAAGCTTCTATATAGAAGCATCCACAGCACATTCTCCATCAAAGAACCCTTCGCATAATTAAAGGGTTCTTTGCATGATGAAAGTGTTCTTCATATTGATGGAGAATGTGCTGTTGGTGGTTATATATAGAACCTGGTATATAGAAAAGGATTCTATAGAGCATCAAAAAGACAATAGAAGAACCCTTTTGGGTGCTATCTGGAACCATTTTCAAAACGGTTCTATATAGAAGCATCTATAGCACATTCTCCATCAAAGAACGCTTTGCATGATGAAAACATTCTTCAGATAGATGGAGAACCTGGTATATAGAAAAGGATTCTATATAGCATCAAAAAGACAATAGGAGAACCCTTTTTGGTGCTATATAGAACCCTTTTCAAAAAGGTTATCTGTAGAACCATCTACAGCATGTTCTCCATCAATCTGAAGATAATGCAAATAACCCTTTAATAGTGGCTCATTAATCATAGTTCTATATAGAACCATTTTCTTTACTGTAGAACCCTTGAAGAACCATCTGTGTAGCTAAATGTATTTTGTCTATACTTTTGTCCATATTTATAGATAACAATGTGTCCTAAAATGTCATAAACCCCATTAGCAAGTCCATTTGGAATTGCTTAACAACCGAATGAATTAAGACAAATAACTTTAATGATTAACTTCAGTACTAATTGTTTGGTATAAACTACATTAGCCTGCAGTGCTAAACTAACAAAGCAAACTTCAGACACCAGACGTGTCTTGGCTGATTGACTTTGGGGTAATGGAGTTTGGTGTAAGGAGGAAGACTGCATTTGTCTTTTCCTTTAATATCTGCATCACAAAATATCAGCCTCTAAGCGAACTCTGTCTTCTGGCTCTTTCTCTGTAGGTAATCAGGCTAAGCTTGGCTGGTTTTAAGCAGGAGAGGGATTGATTAGACACAGAGGATAGGAGTCTTGTTGCTAAGGCACGGCTGGCTGAAAGAAGGCTGCTGGTATTAATTGCCACTCTATATGCTTACTCGTGGTGGAGTGCTCTTATGTTGAGGTCTGGCAGGGTGCCAAAGCAAACAGGCCCACAGTGTGGTGACTTCATTAGTCTGATACAGCCTTGATTAGGC